GATTGATGTATCCCCAATTGCTAGTGCCCCATAAATTGGCCATTATACCACTAGGCATTCCTCCACTAGCGTCACTCTGACCAATACCAATTCCACGCTCTCCGCTAACGATCACTGCAGATTTGCTCAAATTCGTAGGAGCAGGCGGGTTTATGAGTGTTGATGGCGCCAAGGTACTTGCAGTATAATCTTGAGTTGGTGACTGCAAGGTGATTTGTGGATTGGGAAGGTTATTCGTAGAGGTTGAAGGTGCAGAGATGGGAAGAATTGTATGACTAGCTGATATCAAACTAGCGATACCACCCGATGCAGGTTGAGATGCACTTGGAGGTTCATTTGACTGCATACTAGTCGACTTTCTGTGGAGATCTAGTTTTTGCATGATTCTAGCAGCATGTTCTCGACTAGTTTCACCCTCTTCTCTTGAAGTAACAGAACGACGAGGAGGGACAATATCGGAACTGGGTCTTCCAGCAAACTCTGCTCCAGGAATAGGTAGCGTGCCGGACCTTTCGATAACATCTTCATTGCCATACGAAATTTGACCATCTGCATTTTTGGCAGCAAATTCGGGAATAGAAGGTGGAGTGATGGCGAATGCGGGATCAATTCCTCCAGCGCGGAGCGTTCTAGGATTTGCACTAGCCTCGAGAGCTTTATTTTTAGCAAGTTCAAAAGCCTCGAGCCATTCCATAAGGATAGCTTGGGTCTCCGCTTGAACAAGAATTGTTTGATTTTTGGTTTTGACCTCGAAACAGAATCGTCGATCTTCCTGAACAGCAGGTTTCACATTACAAAGAAGGACGCCAATCTTTTCACTCTCCTCTACTCCCCCAGATTGTATTCCTTGAACTAACCAACCAAAGATCCCGTCTTTAACATAGAACCAGCGACGGACCCATAAAGTCCTTGCGGGCTTACCAGATATTGTTCGTAAGAACAGCCAATCTTGTTTTTCCGATCGTTCAGTATGTTTGCTTTGAGGTTGAATGAGTCCAGTCGAAGGACCTCTTGAGCCGAGGTATGCAACCGTTGAAAGATTGTAGTCTTCCAACTCCCTGGATGGTTTTGATGCCTGGGATGCAGTCTCCGCAATATCTCGTCTGGCAAGCTGCAATTCACGGCGGAATGTTGCCTCACCAGCTTCCATTTCTTTGCTCCATCCTCGCACACGATCCATCTCATGACCCCATTTAGCAAGAGCTAACGAAGAGACTTCTCTTGTTCTCTTCATCTCCTTCCATTGATCAGTTGACACTCTCACAAGTAATTTGTCGATCGTATATCGTAATTGGGGCGCAAGTAAACAGAAGTCCAGAGATGCTTTCAAATATGCTTTTCTGGTTTCGTGTACTTGGAAAGCATCCTCTCGCAGCGCCGAAGGCTCTTTAGTTTTCGATTGAGCCACATATCTTGCCAGTGTAGAGTCAAATGTCTTCTGCGACTGCTCTAAATATCTTCGAGCATCTTTAAAATTCCGTAGTTCTGAAGCCATGAATGCTTTGATGGGCTCGCATATATTTGTATCAATCTTCTTAGTACCAGCCATAATCTGCGACCACCATTCCTTCGACCCTTCTCCAAATCTTTGCATTGCCAACAAAGTATAGTCATGATCGAGGACAGCTTCGGAAACATTCGCAGGAGGGATCGATCGAAAGAGAAAGTTATTGAATGCATCTTCTAATGAGGAAGCGTCGTGAACAAGTTTGGTTATGGATTTGACATAGGCATCGAGCCATTTCTCAAGTATCTCCACTTGATCAGAGAAATGAACTGCTGTCGCGCGAAACGTGGGTGAATCGAGGGCTGCTTCTTTTAAGCCCACTGGTATTAAGCTCAATGGCCTATTGAGCTGTGGTATAACGGGCGGCGCAACGTCCGACATGTTGATTAAACTCTGCGCAGAGTGAAAGATAGAATAAATCCCAACCTCATTATGCTAAAAAGCTGTAAATGGTTGTATCATATACGTAAATTTAAAAATCGTCCTAGAAGGTGGCACAAGAAGTTGGGGTTGGAGGCTAGATTGTTTGAGGGGGAAAGTATAAGGGGCTTTAAAATGGAAGTTTGTTACCAACTAATAGATTCATAATGAGATAGTAAATGCCATTAAATTTGATAAAACAAATGAGGATTGAATGTTTAAATTACTCAAATACTATATATAAAATCAAATCTTTTCATGTAGCAAAAGGTACAATTAATTCATTCAGTTGTTCCCCCAATCCTCAATTCCAAAGGTTCCAGAAAGAAATTATTTTAATATCAATCGATGTTCTTTTTCCGGCTCTTCATGTCTCTCATCAGACGCATGCATTAGTGTGTGGAGGTGTTTTCCTTTCCTGATGAGATTAATGATTTGCGAGAGACCAGTGGGGAGATAGTAGGATAATCATTGTTCAAAAAATACACAGATTAACTTCATTTTTGGATTTGATATGGATTTCTACTTTAAATAGATTGAAGACTAGAAACATTGCGAAAATCATTGAACTGAATGCTCCACCTCGGTGAAATCTATTAATACACTAGAGTACACCATAACTCCTACATTCGTGAACGTATGGATATAGAGACTCTAATTATTCCTCAGCTGTAGCTTTTCCAACAGCTCCCTTATTCTTTCTAGACCTCTTCTTCTTCTTCTTTTCTGGAATCTCTACACCTTCCATAGCATCTGCACCTTCCCCGGCATCAGGGCCAATAATAATCTCCGGTCCGTCCTCGTTACCGAAAGTCTCCTTTCTCCACTGCCTTAATCTAGCTTTCTTACCGAGATGTTTCTTGTCCTTGCGTTTCTTTTCTGCATCTCTAAAGGTAGCCATCTTTTTCAAGCCAGCAAATTCATTGAGGGATGAATCAGGTGCCATTAGAATATCTCTAACCGTCAAACCGAACGAGGTAGGTGAAGTTTCGCGATATCTGAATACTGATGCCTTTTTGGAAGCCAGAGAAAGATCAACATCAAGCTTACTTTCCACAAGATCCTCAATCTTTCTTCTTTCCAAGCGTGCGGCCTTCTTTTTGTTTTGTTTTTCCAATTGTCGTTCTTTATTGCTTTTTGACTTCTTGGACGATGCCTCTTCATCGCCCGATTCCTCCTCTGCATCATCCTCAAGATCTGATAGAGTATAGATGGGTTTTGAGGATTTCTCTTCGTCATCGAAATCGGAAACAATATCTCCAATGTCGATGTCGTCGTCCCACTTTGGCTTCTTGACCTTTTTCTTCTTTTTCCCTTCCGTTTCGCCGTCACTATCGGATCCACCTTCTTGTTCAGCATAATAGCTCTCCCCAAAGCGTTTGTTCATCTCAGCCTCCCAATTCTCATCATCCCAGGCCGCATCTAAGAACTGTGCCCATTCTTCATCCTTCAAGGTTTTACCATTCAAACCTGCAGCTTTCTTGATCTTTTGGAGCCTCTCCTCCATCTCATCGATCTTCAACCGCTTCAATCGTGCTCTCTCCTCTTCCCTCTCCTTCTTCTCGGCCTCTTTCTTCTCTCTTGCAGAATCTCTTTGCTTCTTCCTACCGCTGACTTCATCACGACGAACGGATTTTGCAGCGACGACATCTCTGGCATATGATTTCAAATTCTCATTGCTTCCTTCAGCATTTTCGAAGCGCAAGTTGTAAGCTGCCTCGAATTGCTCGGCTCGGTTGTCATCATCTTCATCATCAGATTCCATGGGTTGGAAGCGTGCACCATCACTAGGAACCCATGCGCGAGCTGCCATAAAATTTGATAGAAATGTCTCCGGATCTTTGTCGGCAATGGCGATATCGACTTCAACCTTTGAAGCTCTGGATGGATGGATACCTGAGCTTGAAAGACCTGGATTCTTATCCTTCCTAACAAGGAATCCTTCATCTTCGTCTGAAACAGATCTATCGGCAGCTGCATGCATTTCACTAACAATTTTCTTTTTTAAAGCTTCTTGTTCTTGAGCGAATGTTTGTGGGACGTTTTCATCCTCGTCCTCCCCGCCTGCATGACCAGCCAATAAATTTTCTCGATGATAATCTTTCAAGTACATAGGCTTCTCCTTCTTTTCTGTCGTGGTTCCTTCCTCTGCGTCTTCCTCAATTGGGGTATAAAATGTAACTTTTTCATCGTACACTCGAGGGTCCTTCGAACGTAGAGCTTGTAATGTAGCTGAAATCTCCTTGTCCAAATCTTCGGTTGCTAAAAATCCTTCATCATCTTCATCTTCATCGTCGGATGATGAAGAATCCTCATCGTATTTATCGCCGTATTTCTTCTCGCCATTTCTTCCAACTGTTGGTCCAGGTTTCTTCGTATACTTTTCCTCCACTAAGGAATTGATAAGTCAATATGATTGACAACCTTGGAAGGAAATTTTACTCACGTCTTTGAAGCTCTTCACGCTTCTTATTATGCTCGAATCTTTTCGCATATTCTTGATTTACTTTGAATCCAGATTCAAGCGGGGCACCTCCAGCGGAATCGTCTTCACTGCTAGAATCGCTGTCATCTAACATCATCTTAGACTTTTCGACCTTTTCAACCTTTTCGATAGGTTCTTGCTTGGCTTTTTTCGTGCCAGTCTTAGTCACAAGTTGATCTTGCGATTCAGCCTTTCTTTTTCCCATTTTGTGAGACTTGATTGTAGTTGTGAAAATGTTCTTACCAAACTATTCGAAATAATTCTTGAAGCTTGAAAATCAAAATCAAAAAATGAAATCTTGGTCGGTGAACTGAGCAAAAAGTTCCGGCGCTAATCGGCTGCAGCCCAGGATCTTGATTCGCTCTATCCACGACCCGCCATTCCTCCATCTTCCTGTAAAAGCAGAGCTACCCACCGAGCCTATTTATTGACATCTACTAAGTTATCAATAGTAAAAGGGCATCAAAGTAATCTTCAAAACTCTTTTAAATATCATCGCTTCAATTAATCAATCTGAAAATAGTCGGCGATTTTTGGAGGTCCATCTTACATTCGAGAAACACGATCCACAAACCGGTTTTGTAACATATGGCGGACTCAACTACATCAGCTCCAAAGCCGAGTTCCAGCGTCAAGTTGGTTCTTCTTGGTGAGGCAGCTGTAGGAAAGGCATGTAGAGATATGGAATGGATTATAGCACATCATGTTGACTCTTGTCTAGTCTTCCCTTGTATTGCGGTTCGTGAACAATGACTTTCAGGAAAACAAGGAACCTACTATTGGAGGTACATATATATTCATTATACTACTCTCACATTTATATGACCTTTACTAACAGTTATAATCGCAGCTGCTTTCTTGACGCAAAAATGTAATTTACCAACCAGAACGATCAAATTCGAGATATGGGATACCGCTGGACAAGAACGTTTCGCCTCTCTTGCTCCCATGTACTATCGAAATGCTCAATCCGCTCTCGTCGTTTATGACATCACGAAACCTACATCACTGGCTAAAGCAAAGCACTGGGTAGCAGAGCTTCAAAGACAAGCGTCACCGGGTATCGTCATCGCACTTGTAGGCAACAAGCTTGATTTGACGAATGAATCCGATGATTCCAGTAATAACTTGGGAGATGAAGAATCAGCCGAAGGCGAAGATTCAAGCGGAGATGCGCGAAAGGTATCAACTGCTGAGGCTAAATCATATGCCGAGGAAGAGGGATTATTGTTCTTCGAGACCTCTGCCAAGCTTGGCACAAATGTGACGGAGGTATTCACGGCAATCGCAAATGCTATCCCAGAGACATCATTGAAGGGAGCTAGAGGACCTGGAGGTACACAAGCGCCTTCAGCAAGAGGAGAAGAACAATCTAGAGTCAATTTGACAGGACCAAGGGATAATGCTTCGAAGGAGGGTTGTGCTTGTTAATACATCAGTCTCATTTTTCGCGGGATTCTTTCCAACGTTTCCTTTATTCGCAATCGTTTGGGTTCCTGGGGTTTTTGGTGGTTATTTTTTGATATTGTTAGCTGTTTGATATGAATACGAACCGAATAGCAGGTAGTAAGGAGGCAAATCGGGACTAAGATGGTCCAAGAGTAGCATTTCGATTTCTGGAAGCCCTTTATGGTAGCAGCGTATTCCTCACTTTGTAACAGGAAATTTGTCATCGATAATCAATAATGACGATCCAGCCTTTTTTAGAATCTTGTTGTCACAAAATGACTTTTGTTATGAGTGAAGGTAAAACGAATGAGTCGGTCTATCCCTATCTCGCCATGGCTTTACGCACAGCTGTTTCAAACCTTTCCACCAAAGCACAGATGTTGCGAGGGAATCCATTGGATTCTGAGGGACTCAAATGCTTGGAGCACATGCCCAACTCTGTATTGCTTCTATTTAAGTCTACGGAAACTAGTAATGGTAAGCTTTTTCATGTGGAGTTTTCGCAAAGAGTATTAGAGTCTGACAAATGTTGTTTCTAATGAGGCTGCGTATGAGCGACTGTTTACACATTTGTTTCGCCTGATGGTGAAATTCTAGTGTCTGATCTTTCTTTGACTTTGCCTGACATGCGGGTGTTTGAGACGGTATGGAGGATGGGGAATTGATCGTTGGATATTTCTACATATATACGTAGGGTTCCCCCCCCTCGAATTTTCTCTCTAAACTATTCCAATCTACTTTTTTCATTTTTAACTGTCCTACAGCTGGTCTGATATTTATCCAACTATACCTTAATTCAATTACTTTGACAGTACAATTCGTATATTCAAGATGCGCTCCTCAACAGCAAGTTTGATTTTGGCCTTCTGCGCCATGTTGGCAGTTCAGGCAGCTCCAATGGATACAACTACCAATGTCGCTCGTTCAGTTTCTAGTACTGAGGCAAGAGCAGAGTTCGGAGTTGTTGCTCGTGATAACGATTACGATGCGGAGGGTAATGAGATCGATACAAATGGAAAGTTGATCGAACGTGGTGAGTAGCCTTTTTCAAATAATTTACACTAGTGTGAGTACTAACAGACTGATAGAAACTGGTTATAACGCAGCCGGGGACGAAATCGATGAGAACGGAAACGTCATTGAAAAGAGAGCCAAGAAGAGCAAGAAAGGTATGTTAATACAACTGGATTGGACTACATTTACAATATTGATATTTTTTTTAGCCCAGACAACCAAGGCACGCGCTGAGACTGGCTACGATGCGGAAGGCAATGAGATTGATGCCAATGGTAACTTGATCGAGCGTGGTAAGTACCATTCATATATCTGGATAATAGAAGAACTCGCTAATGATTCTAAAGATACGGAGTACAACGCTGCAGGCGAAGAGATTGATGAGAATGGAAATGTCATCGAGAAGAGATCCAAGACACATACGCGTGCTGAGACTGGCTACGATGCGGAAGGCAACGAGATTGATTCAAATGGCAACTTGATCGAGCGTGGTACGTTGCAGCTTTCTTCATCTTCTCCTTTGCACGTTCTAACAGTTTCAGGTGCCGATGGTTATGATGCCGAGGGCAACGAAATCGATGAGAACGGAAAGGCTATCGAAAAACGTGGTAAGTCGACTCGTCTCTCACAAACCAGCACCATAAAAACATCTACTTATATCTCCATAGAAACCGGTTATGATGCCGAGGGCAATGAAGTCGACGAGAACGGAAAGGCTATCGAGAAACGTGGTAAGTTAATCTGTTTCTCACCAGCCAGCAGCCCCATAACAAGTTTTGCTTACAATTCAATAGAAACCGGCTATGATGCCGAGGGCAATGAAGTCGACGAGAACGGAAAGGCTATCGAGAAACGTGGTAAGTCAACCTGTCTCTCCCCATAACAACATCTTCTGACATCTCAATAGAAACCGGCTATGATGCTGAGGGTAATGAGATCGACGAGAACGGACAATTAATCGATCGCTCCACCGATGGATATGATGCAGAGTATGTAGACCTATCTATTTTCATACAGCTGCTGCTTTTTAATCGGATACTTACTAACTTTCTACACAGAGGCAATGAAATCGATTCCAACGGACAAGTCATTGAGCGTCAAACCACCAACAAGAAAAACAAGAGAGCCAAGATCGCACGCAGAGGTAAGATCCTACTTCCCATATACTTTCTTTCCTATTATCCCCAATCCAATCATCATTCCATCCACCCACCATACAATAAACATCAACTAACCCCATACAGATTTCAACTACGAGTCCCAATACGACGAAGCCGGCAACGAGATCGACGAGAACGGAAACCTAGTCAACGTCTAAGCCTCTCCTCCCGCTTCATCTCTCCATCTTCTCACAAGTATACTTGCGCGCTGTGTCCCCGAATGCGCACTAGTTGGGTCTCATGTCAATATTTAGTTTCATCGATGGGTTCTAGGGTGTTTCATCAATCCTTGATTTATTTCGCATCGTATCTGGCCGTGGATTACATTCATTTGGTACCAGTAGATTGGAAATACTATCATTTATTTATTTTATACATGTCAATCGTTGAATAGCTTTACTCGTGATACGATATGATATTGTGAAATGTAAAATCTAAAGTGAGCAAGAGGATGGGGAAAACCCATGTGGGATTTGGCTCGCGAACCGAGCATCCCCTGAAACGTGGAATGATACTACTCCATACTTTCGAAAACAAAATATAAAACTCACTATTCACCTAGTATAACAAGGTACGCATTGCTCCCGGATACATATGTTATAATTTTCTGTGTCCAGCTTCCATCATGCCAATTTTGCATGAATTGCGAAATCGAGTCAAGATGTCACCGCTTTTTTGTTCTCCCATTAGCGAGTAGTCTCGACGAACACAATGGTATTATTTAACATCATCTAAAATATGGGCTAGATACGAAGCCTCTACTAAATAGTCTGTCATGAATCCTTTTCCTTTCATTCATGATCATCATCGTCATCTACTAGATTCCAGGCATCCCTAATACTGACCTCACAGTAGGGTTCAGTCTTGGAAGCCAAAATACAACAAACACCCCTCCGAACGCGACAATTAATCCAGTTAGCTTCTCAAACCAAGTATGAAAATAAATGGCCGTCATAGCCAACATAAATAAACTCAACCCCGCCACTCCGAGTATAATCTTCACACTAAATCCCAACCACCCATCTTGATTCAACCCCTCTGCTTCATTCAGAGAGGGAGCCTCAATCTCTGCCGATTTGACCGCTCCATCTGCCATGACGATTGTTCGTTCCTCTTTTATTCCCGAACTTCGCAAAACCACATGAAGCACTTCTTGGAAAAGAAACATACTGCCCAGAACAAGTAAGAAAACATGTCCACTGATATCATGACCACCCTTCCATTTTCCACCCACAGCTTTACAAGCCACCCCGGTAACAAACTGACGCGTGTTATCCATCTCAATCTTTCCCTTCTCCGCCGCATCGACCAGCTCGCATTGTCCACCCGTTATAACAAAACCGCGATCGATTAATGGGGGGCCAAAAAACCATTGCGTGACGAATATCCACCAGATGGTAACAACCAAATAGCGTAAAGTTCCGCGTGCTCGTCGAGCTGTAAGGATAAAAACACCTGGAGGACCGGTGGAGGGATGTGTGAGGAGGAAGAAAAAATAACTGGCGGATATCCACGCCCAGCCTTGCTTCACGAAATATTGATTGAATACGTTGCTTTTCTTTGCGAAATATGATGGTGCGGTGCTGGGAGGATGAGATTGGAGAACGGGGTTGTACACTGATGCTCGTACGTCAGGACTTAAGACTGAGAATATGGAGCCTAGTAGTAAGGTTGCCGGATATATCGATAGGAGTATTGCTTCAAAAGTGGTCGGCAGGAATGGTGATCTCCTTGGTGCCATTTTAATGGTTGTTGATGAAGCTTCAACTATTCGAGGAGATCGTCTTTTGGCTTTAGAAGGTGATTCCATTGTTGAATACTATAACATAGAAAAATTGTCTTTGATCTGGATAGAGAATGAGTGACCGTAGATGGTTGCGAGATTGAGATATACCAGTACCGTACTATTAGAGCTGGAAGTCGCCAGATTGATCAGAGGCAAGAAATTTTGATAGACACCCAAGTTGTAGCCTATGACGTTGACGCTTTCCTTCTAGATTTTGCCATGTATGTCCACGAATAGGGCAGGCATCGGAATTAAGAAGGACCGAGGGGTTAAGTGGCTCCTTCCCCAGATTGATTCAATTGATTGAGTGGAATTCGTGCAATGAGAACGAGCGAATTATTGGGGTTTCAAGAGGGATTTGGACAGACTGTCTATTTTGTCTTTCGATATTTTGATAGAATCAATTAATCAATCAATTCCTTTATTCGATTATTCCGTAGATATACAGTGAAAATAACACAACACAAGCAAAATGGTCTCAACACGCAGACACCCCTCCGAATTCCCCGAAACTCCCAGCCGCACACCCACAATCCCCTCTCGCAATCCTGCCCGCAAAGGACAATGGGCTCATACCCCCTCCAACCTCACTATCATTTGGCTGTTCATCTCGCTGCCGCTCGTAGCATGGGATGCTGGATATGTGATGCTTCGACCTCTTTCTATGCCCGGAGGATCACTCCATTGGCCAGTCTGGGCTCCGTATGAATTATATGGAAAGGTCGATTATATATATGGATGGAAGGCTTTCAATGAACACAATGGATTTACAATGGCGCAGACTTTCTTGAATATTATTGAGAGTGCGATGTATTGTTTCTATTTGTATATTTTATATGCTTATGGGAAATCATCGACGGCTCAGGGAAGAGGTGCTCCGAAGAATTCGGGAGTGGTTGGAGAACAGAGATCTGTGGATGGGAAGATGGGGGCATTGGCTGTTTTGGTGGGATATAGTGCTGCGGTTATGACGCTCAGTAAAACGGTGTTGTACTGTAAGTTTGACATGAGATTTCTGTGGTGATAATGTCTTTGCTAATACGACAGAGGGATGAATGAATACTACTCGGGATTTGAGAACATTGGTCATAATAGTATTCGTGATTTGATTTTCTTATGGATCATTCCAAAGTAAGTCAATTTCATTCTAAGACGTGTCTGTTATCTAACATTGTATAGTGGTGCTTGGATAGCTGTCCCTTCATATATCATATATGTAACTGGAAGTGAGATTCTTCAAGGTTTGACAATAGCTGCTGGTGGAGCTACGGCTTCGAATGGCGATGTTTCTTTGGCGAAGAAGGAGTAAATGAAAGCCCATGATATATACGAAGGCTTTGTCCTTGGAAGAGATGTTTGCATGATTTTCAGTTATACGTTTGAGACGTACCGCGTACTGCGATGATGAGATACCATGTCAGTAAAGCATATGATTGCAAGTAATGATAAGATATATGGGCATACTTCTTCTATTTCTTACTGAGAAGGATGGATCAAGAATTGAGATCTTGCATCATTTTCTATTAAATGTAGAAACATAATTTGACTAGAATAATGATCAGCCACGGCGAGGTAGATAAAACAATTGCACATTAGAAATATAAACGTATAATATATTGAACCAATGATCCTAGCTACTTATCTACAAAGTACGTTTAAGTAAAATACACCTAACATACAGAGCAGACTCATGTATCTATCAGCACGCGAAAGCTCACTGTAATACTACATCTCATCAAATCTCTTTATATATCAAAATTGTCGCTTCGTCAGCATCCACTTCTAGAAGATAACTTCTAAGAAAAGCCTGCTTGGCGCAGTGGTAACGCGTAGCACTTGTATTCCATACGAAATGCTAAGATCATTGGTTCGATTCCAGTAGTAGGCATGCTGAATATCTTTTTGGTGTTTTTGGAGATTCTATTATTGGATGTTTGTTTGCTCTATCTTTGTTGAGTTTGATTTGATGACTGGTTGGGTTACTCGGGTTGCTTGGTGTGTGAAGATGATGGAGGGGATGGGGTTCAAAGAAAGGCAAACGATTTATTTTAGGGTTCTTTGTGTGGTTTTTTAATTTTTCTTCAGTACCTACCAAAGATTGTCTGTCCATCCAGGGAAGAAACTGAGTGAGTGAATTGTGATTCGTGCGTTTAGTACTTTAGATGCATTGGTGGAGCGCAGCGTAAACCCACTCATTCACCACGTAGAATTTAAATTCACTTTGAGAATATAGCCGAGCCGAGTCGAATAACTTCACATCTGTTTACTTACCGGTATATTCATTATTAACTCGTATATGAGGAGTTGAGTTTTTCTTTTTCTTTAAACGTGTATTTGCCCTTGATTTGGAGACCGGAAGAAAAGGCTAGAAGAGAATGTGGTTGGGTAATCTTACCCGCTAGTGCGTGTAGACTTTCCCTTCAGCATACATTCAATCATTCATGGTATTATATTACCGTGGTGGATATTGCGGCATGAGATTATCTACTATTGAGTACCTACGATAGATGCGATTTGATATCTCAAGGTTGATTATGGCTCATAGGTAGGTGGGTAGGTATTGTGTACTTATCCCGACCTTTCTTCCTACTTGTGTGGGAATGCTGTATGATACGGTACGGGTGCGATTATTCACAACCCTTCAACGGATCATGGAGTCTCGGCTCATTCACCGTAAATCAGTTCGAGTTGTTCGTTCTTGAGTTTAATGTTAGGGTTGATAGGTTTAGTGTGCGAGATACCTACCTAGGTAGCTTTGATGTATTGGATGGTTATCCAACCTGGTGTGAGGGTATATGAGTATTGAATATTAGATGGAACGATACTTGCAAAAACCGGGCGATTTCTAGGCATGGTTTCATATGTACTCAAGATGGATTGAAGAAGTCTGTCTCGAAGGAGATTTTCATGCAAACGTGTAAGTATGCCATACGGATGCTTTTGGGGATTTAATACGCCTCAGGGCAAAATTGGGTACTAGACCTACAAATGTACTGAATTACCCAGAAAATCAAGTAATGCTAGTTCAGGAACTATCACTTTTCCCTTTTTGATTATCAACTGATATTCTGTTGAATTCAAACAATTTTTGGCCATTCCTCCTTTCCTGGGTGTCCACCTTTCAAGATAGAATGACTCGTTCTTCCAAACTAGAAGGGGGAGGAGGGGGGAATGAAAATGATAATAATCTCTACCATTAAATTTATTTCCGCATGTCCTCTTCCGAGAAGATCTCGAACATTGCGTTCACCTCAACCCACTAACCTCCCCAGAGGCCGTCTTCACCACAGTCTAGCAGTGAACCATAATCAGTTGTTTCACAAAAAGAAGGAATTCCTGGTCATCTTGGGGAAGATCCTCAAAGATCAACCTGGCCTGCTCAAGCTAGTATAAGGCCACGAAATTTGAGGGTCACCTAGCTTGTGTAAAACGGGCGGCTAGACCCATTGAAGCTTGAATAACCATCATTCATGAGCCACTAGCTAGATATAGGCGTCATTTTTAGAAATTGATAGATATATGCGATTGAAACGAACCCTCCAAGAAAATTTTCAATCTTAAATCCCACACGCCTTCTTCTCTCAAAGGTCGTTGAAGAAAACTTTTCGAAAACGCCGACTTACCACAATAATGGATCAAAATACCCAAAATGCTCCGACCGACTCAGTTGACATGGCTGAAAAGAAATCAACTGCTCAAACTAACGCAGTCATCAATGGCCAAAAAGAAGTCAACTGCTCACCACTATGGAATTACCCCCCAAAAAAGTCAACCTCACCAGCCTTACTTCCTCTTCCAGCAGAAATGATCAGGATGATAGCAGAATTGCTTCCGGACAGTTACGCAGCCTGTCTTACTCTCAGTAGCCGCGGTATGAAAGAAATACTTGGAGACCGGTACTTGAAAGCTATGAAAAATTCACCACCTCAAACATTCAATTTCTTGCGTCAAGCTGAAATGAACTTTGTGACACTTTTGGCGAAAGACCTTCCTCAGCGCTTTATGTGCTTCGAGTGTGCCCGCATTCATCGAGCGAGAACAATCAAATGGCCCAATAACAATACAGACCATCTCGGATGTGTTCAGAGCACTCGGGCCAGGCAGAATATTTATTCTCTTAGGTTTTCGTCACCCTTCTAAATACATTTCGCTCAAGTTTATTTGGCGGCGAAGCGACATCGATCCGGCATCGATCTTGGATTTCCTCTCGAGGCTTTCCGACACCAAGAAGTTACACATCATCAGTCCACGAATACAACAACTTTACCGTCCGTTGATGCCCGGTTTGTTTCCAATGAGCTTCGGTTGCGATCTCAAACCTGGGATTTTCTCCCTCGGAGCCAAAATGACGCAACCATTGAGGATATAGCTTATGGTGGAATATCGGATAGAGTCTGTAATCATTCAAAACGACGTTCACTGGAATTCGTGGTGTCAAATTTTGTGGGAAGTAACTCTTCCCTTGCACGAACAGTGCAATGCCACTATTGTTGGATGGACTTTGGAATGCGTCGAAAACACTGTGGAGTGTCAGGAACTGCGATCATAATTACAAGATGGATCAATCTTGGAGCTGGTCTAGACCCCAATGATCGTAAGTGGCAATGTCACATCGGGGGGTAAAGCTCTGCGTCACAAAAAGCAACCTTTAGTCAGTATCCGAGAAGCTTTCGAAGATCAGGAAGGATTGTCAGAGGAAGAGTTTACTTCTGGTAATTATGAGAAATTGTTATCGGAGATGGAAAAGAAAGCCTCGAATTAAGGGCCGGATGACCTTGCTTAGGAGTGGATTGGACATCAGACGTGGTACTTGAACTCATCGAGACCAACGTGAATGAGATTTATGGAAAATATTCAACGAGAGTACGAATGCAAGGTAATGTCTTGGAATCAGCAGTGTGTTTGATGTAGTTGGCGTTAAAGTATGTGTAGGATAATCCTATGTTTGATACATGGCTCTGTTAGGGGATACTTATAATTTTAATGTAATGAAGATTTTGTCGTCTCATGGTGGATGCATTACTTGTGGTATTGTTTTCGGCATAAGATCTGGAAGTACCAAGAGTTCAAGAGTACGAAACATATCAGAAAATCTTTCAAAGATTTAGAGATTCAAAGAATTCAAAGAACCAGATCATGAAACTTTTCATAATCAAAGGATTGTCCAATGTCCAAATTCACTTTTCCAAGCGAGTTCTGCATTTCCATCTCCATGTCTATCTGGTCACGTGATATTAAAACGAGATGTCACCACCAAGACGCTATGATTTGGCTGTGCAATGAAAGCCCTGGAGAGATCTGATCTCGAGGTAGGCAGGTAGGCTGTGCATAACTTTGAAATGAAGGCTGGACATTGATGTGATTTTAATGAGACGCGTTTGAAGATAATATTGAGAGAAGAATATGGTGAGTTTAAGAGAAAATGGGCAAGGAGGCAAGGTAGTAACAAGAGAGGAATGCACTCAGGTAAGCAGTGCAGTCAGTAGCCAGCCAGCCAGCCAGCCAGCCAGCAGTGAGAACCTTACATACCCGTGATATACGATCAGATGATAATTCTGGAATGATGTTACATTGAGGATTCCTTACATTGGGTATTCCTGACTCTCGCACGTGTTGTCTCGTGGAGATGATGTAACGAAACTCTGGGTTCTTGCTGGTTGACTGTTGGGCCCTTTGTGAGTTCGTAAGTTCGTGTGTACTAACTATACTATGTATGTACGGAGTATATAAGCACCATTTTGGTACCTGCCTACCTAGTTAAACCTTACTGAATCTTGATTCCTGTATTATTGATTCCATAAGAGCAACTCTTCCTTGAATTGTATTTTTGATCAATTATTTAATCAATACCTAGGTAACAATGTAGAAACCCTTCCTTCTTCCTTCACATATGATATGCATTCACATACAATAGGCCGGTAGGTATACAAGGAGGTATCGACTTTAATGACATGTTCCATAATCAATTGAAACGATAGTTGATTGATATCAAATTAACTGAAACCACTCTCATTCACCCTCTCTCTCTCTCCCTAACTACCGGAGACTCCATTCAGATCAAATGAGAGGCTAGTCAAACATCCATCGGAATCATAAGGCTCATAATACACAATACGAGTAATGAATAACGTAGAACCTCCGACTTTCAAACTCTGGAACTTTGCACTTTGCACTTGTAACTTGGGACTCAGACGTGTGAGTAGGTATTATCATCAGACTTCAAAGAAAAGACCAATCCTAAACTTAAACTTAAACAAACTCTCTTCCTTTATCTCTATTCTTATCCCTTTCCACAAAATAATTGTTTATTGCATGATGATAGATTGATAGATAGATTGATTGCATCCTTTCTTCCCCTCCCTTCGTTGCTTGCTTAATACATTAAATGATCAAGTTGCGAATGCATAAGACGAATTAATCAGAACTACCTAGGTAAGCATAAGAGTAAGCAAAAGTTGACTGAAAACAAGATATATTTAGCCTATCGCCACTAAAAACCATTTATCAGCAAATCAATACCTTGTACCTACCACCAGCGACAATCTACAAGTTACTACTCTCTCTCTCTCTCTCTCTCTCGTATCTACTCTCCAACTACCTACCAGCACCAGCCTACCTAGGTATTCTTTACCGAAAGCGACCGACGTCCGTTCATCGAAACCATCCTTGATCCAACCATCCCATCCCATCACATCACATCACATCCCAATCCAATCCTATCCTATCCTATCCTATCCTATCCTATCCTATCCTACCCTATCCCAATCCCAGACCATACTCACAGCCTTCCTACAAACCACGTTCACTTCTTACTTCTCCACCACAATACATACGAACCACCACCACCAACAACCACAACCCTTTTTTGATTTTTTTGCTTTCGCCCTCGATAAAATTATCCCTTTTAACGCTTCGAAAGATTCGATTTGATTTGATTTTATTCCGGCGGGCCGAGAAAACATCGGGACTGGTTTCAATCTTCGACAGTACGTGGGTTCATTGGAGAAAGGGAAGCAAACAAGGCAGGAAACATTTGGAAGGGTTGCGATAAGGTTACCGTATAATCATGGAGGACTTCCTGCGGGGTATGCAGCAATCAACTCTCACCACCTCGGTTTTATCCACAACGCCAACGTCGATACCGATTATAGCTGGCGCTCAGGAAGCTCTTCGAGAGACACTACAACAAACGACTAGCCTTCAAAATGCGGCAGCGACTGTTGCGACCAGTACGTCTAGCGACAATGTTCAGCTCCAGTCCTCCAATGATTCGACGATAAATGGGGTGGTGATAGGATTATTAAGTTCCTTTGGTTCGGCCATCTTAATAGCTTTTATCTTCCTAATTGTTTATTTCTTCAAATATACAAGTAGTGGAAGGATTTTACTGGATCGGATCGGAAGGCCGGGAGAATACGACGATGAACAGGCTTTCGCAAAGGAAGAGGCAGAAGCCTTGGAAGAAATGGATGATTTACAAAGAACTGAATATTTGAGAGCCAAAGGTATGTCTAATCATCATCTACTTGCCGTTTGTTGATACTAATGATATTATCCGTATAGCATTCGTACAATCAAACCCACCCGATTCATTACCAACCGACATTTCCCTCTCACAATACTTGGCAATTCAGGAGAAAGGTGTCTCCGCTTGGGAATTTGAACCAGAGTTGGAGATTGCCAATTGTTTTGTAGAGGCTAGGACGGAAATCGAATTCTTCGATAGCGAGTGTTGCACTCTGACGAATTTACCGGTACCAAAACAGAACGAGGTTTACTATTGGGAGTCGAAGATTTACGATAAGCCAGAAAATACACTTATTAGCATCGGAGTGGCTACAAAGCCTTATCCTCTGTTTAGATTACCAGGTATGTCGTCTGGATATGAATTGTGAGGACGATTACTGACTTGAAGCAGGGTGGCATAAGTATTCCGTAGCTTATACATCTACTGGACATCGAAGATATAATCAACCTTTTAGCGGACCGGTATACGGACCACAATACGTTCAAGGAGATGTTATCGGAGTTGGATATCGACCTCGAACTGGCACCATATTCTTCACTCGAAATGGAAAGAAACTCGAAGATGTAGCACATGGTTTGAAATCGCAGAATCTTTTCCCAGCTGTTGGGGCAAATGGTCCTTGCACAGTACATGTCAATTTTGGACAATCTGGGTTCGTTTTTATTGAAGCAAATGTTAAGAAATGGGGTTTAGCACCTATGACTGGTAGTCTTGCTCCTCCACCTCCATATGGTAGCGAACAAGGAAGCATTCTTTTAGAGGCAGGACGAGAAGGTGCACAAAGTAGTAATGGCCATTACCAACCCGACCCAAGACATGGACGAACTCGAAGTGGAAATTTTAGGCATGGTCCACCTACAAGTCCTGGACCAATACGATCACCCACAGATATTTCTTTAGCTCAACTTACACACTTTCCTTCACACGAAGAACCCGGTGAGGCTTCGAATAGTCCTACACCAGCACCTACAGGAAGTTCTACACAACAAAATGGATTGGGAGTACACGATAATGCACAACCTCCTCCAGAATATACAAGTCCTTTACCATCAGTAGCAGGAAGTCCCCGAGGAAGTACAGATAGTGAAAGGACGCCAATGCTACGAAGAAAAACTACACCTCCACCAATACCAAGTTATAATGATGCAGTAGCACAAAGAAATCAAAGTCAAAGCCATCGAGATAGAAGTGGAAATCAAAGGGAAAGAAGTGATAGTCATCGAGCCCGAAATGGTGATGGAAACACTTCTCAATCATGACCACCTAGTGTAGAGTGAATTTTCAGAATAAAAGCATATGAAACGAGTAGTTTGAGAGAAAATGAGAAAGAGGAAGTTTGAATAAAGGCTTTTGGCATGATATTGATCATGGGATGGATCACCGTAGTGATGGTTTCTTTTGGGAGGTGGGAACTTTTTAGATCCTGGAGTTTACATATGAATAGCGTGGTGTGGTGTAGTTTCCTATGTTGTTGAATTGAATTGAAGGATGGCTCGGTGCAGTTTTGGTATATTCTTATCCTGTCTTGGGTTGGTAAGACAAGGAAGGATTTGGAGATAGGTTGGGATGGGTAGGATGGGAGAATTGTTTGGCTGGCGTATTGGGTGTTTTTGGGTTATTGGTGGATGCATGGACTCTTGAACATAAGTTGGGAAATTGGAGAAAGAAAATTTTGAAGAGACATTGAACTTGGTGGAAGGATAGTTGTGGCAAGAGCGTTTCTTGGAAGTGAGAAGGGCGTGGATGGAGGTATGAGGTGAGATGCGATGAGATGCGATGAGATACATAGGAAGAGATTGGATTGGTGATATGGATACTGATTGTTAGGCGACTGAATGAGTGGAAAGGGGTAAAATGACTTGTGCATAGGATGGTCGTCGACGCAATACAAATATATGAAGTTCCTTTGTTAGTATTAAAATTCAATAAAAACAAATTAAATTAAATCGGATACTTCTAGTTCCAAGCAGTCGTACTAAGCTCTTGGGAAAATTTACATGTTTTTCAAGTGAAAACTTGTGAGATAGGAGATGGTTCTTGTTTGTAGGTAGGTCCTTCGTCATGGGGATAAGGAGATAGATAACTGGCTATCCTATGCTATCCCATCCTGTTCTTTCCTGTGCTATGGATCGTGTATCAACAAAATCAAATCGGATCAAATAGTTCCAATTCCAATTGCAGTCCTATTTACTCTTGATTAGCAATAGTAAGTGTTAGTTTGAGAAGGATATGGAAGACGTAGCACCCATGTATCCGTAGGTTCTAAATGTCTATATTGTATTCTGTCTAAAGAGAGAGCTAGCTACCTATGTATAGGAAGTTGTAGGTCTTACACAGGGGCTACGGAAAGAGCTAGTTTCTTTTGCTTTTGTTCAGGGCTGGAAATGTAGTAGTTGGGTGAATTGAAGCTATTCACTACGATCGGGATGATCAATGTTCCCGAGGTCAGTGTAACAAGCTTCTAGAAAATGATTTGGAGATTTTTCAAGTGGAAACTTGTGAGATAGGAGATTGTTTTTATTCTTGTTTGTAGATGGGTAGGTGGGATTTTGGTATTGGGTGAGGGGGAGAGGGGAGAGGGGAGAGGGGAGAGGGGAGAGAGGAGAGAGGAGAGAGGAGAGAGGTATATGAGTGTTCTGTTCTGTTTTATTTTGGTTTGTGCTGTGCTGTGCTGTGCTGTGCTGTGACTAGTATGACGTGATGTGAGTAGTGTGAAGCTGGAGTGGATAATTCGTTTATTTTGAATAGTAGGTAGGGAGGTACATACCTAGTAGGTACCTAGTCACTTTACAGGAAATTGAGGTTTTAGATCTGTAGTCTGTTGTGTATTATTCAATTTAGATAAGGGGGGAGGGAGGGTAGTAATCTTAGCGAATTCAAATCAAGTCAAGTTTAGTCCAAGTTAAGTCACATCGAGCTTTCGTTATCTAGTTATTTATTTATTTAGTTATCTAGTCAGTGAATTACATTCAGCATTCAACCCATTCTTGGGCAAATAGGGTGGACTAGATTGGGGGAACTGGATTGGGGGAACTGGATTGGGATTGGGATTCTGGTTTTGGGCAAGGTTGGTTTTGATATTTGGATATAAATATGGACCTGGATTTGGATTTGGGATGATTATGGGTTTGAAATGATTGTGTGTTGAGGAGAGGGGAGAGGGAGTGGGATGGGATCGGAAGATGGGATAGAATAGAACAGGATGGAATGGGAGTATTGCGGGCTGTTTGAGGCATATGGTGTGGATATTGCTATTAAAATTATGATTTTGACATATTTCATTACTAGAATAAAAGGAAATACCTGACTACCCTATCCTATCCTGTCCTATGAATAGTATAAAGTATGTGAGTTATTCACTTTGGATCAGTAGATCAATAAATCCTAGACTTAGCTTAGCTTAGTTTAAATCTAGCTTAGCTAGAATTAGTTAATGAATTATATGCAGTTTGATTATAGAATAGAGATTAATGTACAGAATGGGGTGGGAATCAGTGCGATATATGATGGAATGGAATGGGCTCCTATCATTGATATTTAGGACGATTGTGGTTTTGAGGAGATTGGATGGGATGGGAAGGGAAGGCAGTTTTTGGATCTGTTTATAGTGTACAGTGTGGATGGCTATTGTTATTGTAATTTTGGATTATTGTATGTATTTATGTAACGTAACGTATGGGGAACTCGGACATATGGGGAACTCGGACACTTTTTCAATTATTCTACACGCGATCTTGTTCTACGAGCCACACAATCCTCCAATTCCAATTCCGAATCACTTGAACTATTCTCTAGCTCTTCTTCTTCAATCTCTTCTTCTGATTCTTCAATTAGGCGTTTGCGTGGCCGTCCTCGTGGCTTTTTCTCCTTCGGTTTTTCCTCCGCCTCACGTACCATTTTCAATACTTCCTTAGTACTAAAGACAAATTGACCTTGTAATTTGACTCTTTTGCCTTTAGTTCTTTTCTTTCGAGTCTCAATTACCTCCTGAGCATCAGAGAGCTGTTTCCGAAGTAGGGCTATCTCAGCATTTTGAGATTCTACAAGCCTAGTCATTCTCTTGGCATATCGACGAGTTGGCGATGCAGGAGAACCACTGCTTGCTAGAGCTGTATTAAAGATCTGATTTGCTTGCCTTAGTTCTGTTCCATCTGGAGGAGAACTCCTGAGTATAGACAAGTCTAGGTCTTGATTGGGGGTTCTCATTTGTGGAGTAGAAGGTTGCTGGGAGGAGTTAAATGGTAATGAATCGAGTACTTTTCGTGGGGCAAAAGGTACTAAACCAGCTCCTCTCCAGCCAGCTTTAATATTAGAAGAATTCAATGCTTTTTTTCTAATATTTTGAAAGAGTTCTACCCATTCAGCTCTTTGGATTCGCTTTACACCAGCTCGAGAATATCGATCGACCTCTAAAGCATGATATCGTTTCATTGGCCCATACACCGCAATATCAAGTGGCTGAAGCAAGTGAGAGCAATGAGGAGGTAATATAAGTAAATCAATATCATTATCTATACAGAAAGCAATAAAGCTACCTGTAATATGGCTTGAATGGCCATCCATGATCAAAAGTCGAGGTCGGTCACCTGACACTTTCTTGGATTCTGGTTCGAAAACCCTTTTTAACCATTCTAATCCATGGCTATTTGAGGTCCATCCATTTGTACTAGTAGAGAACTGCCAGCTTTGAGGTGTGTCCTTTGGAATCCATGCAGAATTCGTATTCTGAGCCTTGAAAATGACCATAGGTGATAGAGCATTTCCAGCTGCATTGACACATTCAAATGCAGTTATCCATTCTTGCTTGCCAGCTGTAACTTTCCAATTCGATTTCTGAGTAGAATCGACTATAATGCGCGTACTTTGAGTACTTCCAACTCCAAATCCGGTTTCATCCATATTATACATATCATCTAATTCATACTTTCGCTCAATGAGACGCGTGCGAAACGCGTCAAACCAAGCCTGAATATTCTCCGGAGTTGCTTCTTTAGCCCGATTAGACTCTAATTGACGTGAATAGCATGTTTTAAGTTCTGGATGTCGTTTTTGGAATCTATAGATCCATTCGTGGCCTATAGGTGGAATTTCTGTCGAGGTAGGATTTCGAGATGACGCGACCCGAACGCGTCGAAGACGAATTTCGTCGGCCATTTCCTTCACCAACATAGGTGTAGCAGGGAATCCAGTGATGGTAAGTTGTGAAATCCATTGTACAAGAGTATTTTCTTCTGCGTTTGAAAGAATTTGAGCCATTTCGTGGGTTTGGGAACGTGTTTTCTTCCCAGCCAGCCTATCAGCTAGGGTAGACTTAGGGACTTCAAAATGCTCTGCAGCCTTTCTAATTGATTTAAATTCTTTCAATTGAAGTGAAATTATAGCCTTTTGAAGCTTCTCTTCAATTTGAGCAGATGTAGAAGGTGATTGGGTATGCATAATAAAAGTTATTGCGGTTTCAAGTTGGTGATGGGCTAAAAGTGTCCGAGTTCCCCATATGTCCGAGTTCCCCATACGTTACGTTATATGATTCGTATTAAGATATTGTTAAATGGTTTACCGAAGAGTGCAAGAACAAAGACAGGGTATCCCATCCCATACTCCCATACTCCACAATCTCCCCCCCTAAATAACCTTCACAAACCCCACCTCTACCAACCCCTCTACCGGCAAATCCAAATCCGCCATCTTCCCCCTACTATTCTCTCTGATCCACAAGAAAACCCACAACACCGATCTGCGTAACCAATTCTGCACTCCGCTGCCCGCTCGAATCTTCATCTGTTCTTTGCCGAGGACGTAGACGATTTGGTTTGCGGCTGCGGTGGTGATACTGTCGAGTTCTTTTTGGATGGTGGGGGTGTGGAGTATACTTGTCGCGGGGGAGGTTTGGTTTGGAGATTGGGATGGAGATTGAGAATGAGGGGTTAATGGAGCGGGAGAAATTAAACTCCTCTGCAATCCCGAAAATGTCCCCGGATCCCGAGTGATGAAGAGTGTGAGTTGGCATATGAGGGTTTCGCCAATAGACGGCGTGATAATATCATCAGTGTAGCCATGTCGAATAGTGATTCGATAACAGCCCGGGATGGAGGTACGTTGCACGACGTAGCGTTCCTCATCTGGGACGTGCGGGATAGAAAGCGGACGCATGTGTAGAAAAATAATGATTTCGGGGGTTGCGCAGAATTTGCGAACAAATTGGGTGAAGACGATGGGGAGCTGATCGCCGATTTTATCAAAGAAGATGCCGACGCTGGGGACCGTGGTGATGGGATGCGAACCATATGCTGCGGTGAGCCAAGAAGTAGGAGTGGCGGAGTGGGGATCGGTAGTCATGAAAGCGGAAGGGGCAATACGATCTTGGGCTTCTGAGGTCCATTGCTGTTCTTTGCCGTAGCGCCAGAGTACGAAGATGCAGGAGAGGATGAAGGCGAGGAGGAGGGTGAACCAGGCGCCGGTGGGGACTTTGATCAGGGCTGAGGAGAGGTAGACACCGTCGAGGGCGGCGAAGACGAGGAAAAAGATGAGAACGATGAGGACGTTTATGCGCCAGATTATTATGGCGACGAGGGAAACCATGCAGGTTGTTATGAAGGTTACGAAGATGACGCAGACACCGTAGGCATTTCCGAGACGGGTTGTCTGGTGTTGCGTTAGTACTATGTTTTGAGTACTGAAGAGTTGGTATGGAAAGGAGAACTCACGTTACTGTATGCTACTGTCACCACGACTGTACCAATCATAAGGAGCCAATTTGCAAGTGGCATATATACTTGTCCATGGAATAGCTTCGAAGTATGAATGGTTTTGATATGTGGAAAATAAGATAATCTCATAACCTGTGATAGCAATTGGAAACTAGCCGTAATCATAGCCTGTGAAGCAACAATCGCGGCTAAAATTGCAATGACAAGAGAGAAATCTGGATCATGTTAGTCGAGCTTCCATACAGGTAGAAGATGCCTATAAAACTTACAGAATGTCCCAGGAGGAACCGTTTTGAAGAAAGGATTCGTATAAGCAGTTTTCGTCACATCTTGAGAAATATATGCAGCTTGTCCGATATATGCCAATAGCAAACACGGATAAGTAAACCCCAGCCAAGAAATTTGAACGGCTCTTTTACTAAAAGCTCCCAAATCTGCGAAGAGTGCTTCGACTCCGGTGAATGCGAGTAGGAGTCCGCCTAGGGATTTCCATCCTTCCTCTTTGTTTCGCATGAAGTATTGTCCGGCGAAATAAGGAGAAAATGCTTTGAGAACGCTGTGGTCGTATTGAGCTAAATTGTAGATACCAGTGCACATGTTGAACAGTAACCAAATCATGACGATCGGAGCAAATGTAGTTGCGATTTTTGTAGTTCCGAAAGGTTGGATAGCGAATAATAGAATGAGGATAGCGCAAGTTGTGCCGACGATTGTACTGGTGCTAATGTCTGGTTGTGCAACTTCAATTCCTTGAATTGCTCCCAGTACAGATTGGGCGGGTGTTAAGATTCCATCCCTAGTAGTTGTTAGAGGAGTATTTTCTTGTAGATTCACATCAGACTTACGACATGACCATACTAACACCCAACACACCCAAGAATTTCAAAACCACTCTAGCGACTGCGGACCCCTCAATAAAAGTTCGTACGTTTTTGTTCGAACGTTTCAAATCATTGGTCTCATGACGTTCCATCTTGACCATTCCTGAAATATTCGGATCTAGTCGAACGATATGTGCGTAACGGGCTAATAAACTGTATAGAGCGAATGTTCCTCCCTCTCCATCATCATCCGCGGATAATACGATGAAAACATATTTGACCGAAACCATAAGTGTAAGGGTCCAGATTATTATGGAGAGTGCGCCCACGAGATCTTCGTATGAAGGGTGACTTGTGAAAGTGGAGGAGTAGACATATAAGGGACTTGTACCTGTGATGAGGATGGTAAGTTATTGTGGTTTCTTGGCTGGGGAACTGAAAGCATACCTATATCTCCGTAAATGACTCCAGTACTTTGATATGCCAACCACATAAGCATCCATCCGGTATATGTCTAGAAGAGATTAGAATGAGCAGCTAGTAAGAAGACTGGCCTGCTGGAGAGAGACGCGAGATACCCAAAAGCGCAAGTATAGAATTGAAGAACATCGGAATTGCTTGAATGTTAACTAATCACACACCTGTTTGTTCTTCTTGTTCAAATCTTCATTGGCAATCTGTAATGCCTTCTCCTCAAAGTCATAACTAGATGCCATCTGAGATACTTTCGACTCTGCCAAAACATCACCAAATGCCAATCCATTTGATGGGTTTGATCTAACAGGCTTTATTTCATCTTTGAACTGAATGCGCGGAGATGGATCTGCCATCTTGGTACTGACACTCGAGAATTGTGTTTGTCCTCTGCTCGGGCTATTGATATAATCCGAACAAGTGCTGAAGATGCTGCACTCGGAGAGGGAAACAGGTGTACAGAGAAAGGTAAGATGATACAAGATTAAACATAGAAGAAAGTTTCCTATGATGACTATGGGAATTTGAATTCACTTATACTATACCTAGACATACTGATAACGATTCGATTTTATTTTTTCTTCAGTCTCATCCCACCTCGAAAATTGGAGGCAAAGCTATCCATTGGCCAATTGTCCTTCCTTCAGGGGTACACATGTTAGATTCCAAGGGTTCTCAAGGGTAGACATCTCTACAATTGACATCCCCACAGCTGACATTTGAACTATCAATGACGCCTGAACTCCATTCACTGTGATACCGTTGACAATTTGAAATTTATCACTGGATTTGTATTTTTCTTATCTCAAAGGATTTTAAGCCATAAACTTTTGGAATGAGGTACGAATTATGAAATTTCTTATCCTCGCCTCCGGATTCGAGCAGGCTAAAATCCCTCATGTATTACAAAAATGCCTCATTTCCAGCTCCACGCCTCTTGCGGCAGAAACCAACATTGCGAGGGTGAATTCCGAGGCTCATGCACAAGCGAGAATCAATCTGGGTGATGCTGCAACTTGGTGATCTTTTGTGGCGGAGTGGGATGTGTGATAATGTGATGTTGTGATATCTACCTAGGTAATGTGTTTGGATAATGAATATTCAGCTCTGATGTGTGTTGGAGGTACACTACGTTCCACTTGGATTATCTATTATGCCAATAGATTGTTCAGGATTTGATTTTTTCGAGAGTAGACATCAGAGCTACCTATTCATCTTTTGTGATGTAAAATAATCAAGTCACAACCAATTGTTAATAATAAGTGTCGAGACGATTGTTTTGCTGTCGAGGTTAATAATAAATAAGGTTAACTTATTTGAGAATGGGTGGTTCACCGCTTTTAAATTCTGCCACGTCTTCATTTCTTGGAAAATCCAACCTAAAAACAATGTTGGAAACTGTCAATCCACCAACCTCAAATCAAATCATTTACATCTTTCTGTGATCATTACCTGCGTTTCTGCGACTCAAATATGTTCCCTTCTGTCCTCAAACCAACTGGTCGTTGCAACTTCATGTAAATCCACAGCGAAAAGTGTTGTATCGGAAATACAAAAATGGCCACACCCTCGCTGGCTGTACGCTTAATAAGTACTGTTGAAAAGGATGGATAAAGAAGTTGGGAAGTCTAGATACACTTCTCATATCAGGCACGACCCATACTGTACATGGCCTTAGATACTCGGGCTATGCCATTCTCCCACGCTTCCAAACCTCAAAGATTCACTCACCGTGAAGTATATTTCTCTTCCATAGAGATGATGAACTATCCTTGATCCTGCATACTTCTACATGGATATGCTCTCCTTCTGCAACATCGTATACACTCTGCTACGAATGTCCAACACCAATTTAATGCACAGTATCTTGATCGTCTTGTCTTAGATCTTGATGGCATTCGGTTAAACATAAATTACCTTCTTTACAATTACCTAGTGCGTGACGATGCTGACTAAGCCCAACCTCCTCCCGACCTCATCTCGTTTCTCGATGCGAATAACCACATATTCTACAAAGGACGATGACGACTTAACAGCGTGGAAAGGTTTACCAAAAACGTGTATCATCCTACATATCCCTCTGGCTGTCAAAATAACCACAGCAGAATTGCAGGGAATTCAAATACATCAGCATAGTGCAATATTGCATAAAGTCCTTCGTGCTTACCCTGGATATACACAAGTCAACTTTCTGGAGGGCTCTTTCCATTCTATAATATGATACGGGCAAGTAAGGCCTTATCAATATATAATGTTGTTATTTTGTATAATGCGTCGATTTTCTCACGTTCACACAAAGAAAAACATGCATATCAGCCATGTTAATGTAAAGTTACATTTTTTGCGCTGAAATAGGACATTGACAGGAGCTGCTAATGCTCTGTTGGCCCCATATATTACATGCTCTGATAACCGCTTGTTACTCAATCTGAGAAATTGTAGCACTCAATTTAAACCAAGTCACTGATTTCGCTGCTGTCCTCCGGGTTGGTTCTTCGGCCAATGTTTTTAGATGCTTGATCGTAACCATTACCCCAGATTTTAGGAAGATCTCCTTGAGGGTACTGACTCATCTCAGCAAGCAAATCTTTGATCCTTATCATTTCATGCTCCATCTTAACTCGATGCATGCGTAACTTTTTGCATTCCCTCACATAAGCCGCCGCTGCCTTTTCCTCCTCGTCCTCCATCTCCCCCAACTTTTTCTTCAAAATAGTTTTGTCCTTGGCAGGAACAGGAACACAAAGTCTTCTCCGGATTCGATTTTTCTCCGTGATCAAATTTAATCGTAGTCTCCTGTACTCGTTGGAGACCTTTATCTCATCTTTTTCCAATCCATCCTTTGTAAATTGTACCCAATTCTTGTAAAAACGCTGTCTCTCTTCACTATTGGCTACCATTCCAAATACCCCCAATTGTTTCAACAAACATTCCCTGTGGAAGAGTGTCATTCCAAGATTCTTGCCAAGACTGATGTTATCCCTTTTAGGTTTTTCAATTGGAGTAGGCATTTCGAATTCGGGATATGAACATCTTATCTTAAAGGCATGTTTTGACACATCAGGATACTTGGCCAGGTTTCTCTTGAGTCTTCTGATACGTATCATCTCTTCTCGTGTGCGAATTATGATGCGGAGGGGAGGAACGTGGGGGGCGGTTGTAGTCGCCATTGGGGTCGACGGCGTGGACGTTGTTGGAGATGTTTGGAAATTGATAACAAGGGGGATAATGTATACAGTGGAATATGTGTGTATGTCGTTGTTATTGATGTTGAATGAAGTATGTGATGATATATTCAAGGTACATGTTATCAAGGTAGTTGTGATATTGATTGTATGTTCGAAATTTTGTCTGAGGATGGTTCAAAAGAAATGGATTCAAGGGAGGGAAACTGTTTTACTTTTGTACAATATTTCCATCTGGACCAGATAGATTATTTTTTTCGGACAAGACTAGCTTGGTGTCAGGCTTAAACTTAAAATTCAACTACTTCGATCAAATTTGTATATTGTAGTGTCAAAGTTTGAATCAGCGGGGTAAATTAGACTCAGACTGGAATGATTTCGAGCTTGAAATTAGTCTTGACATTGATCTTTACTCAATTTCGATTTATTTCGTCATGTTCTAGTACGAACCGTTATTGGCAAAAAGATTACTATTATCAATAGAACAAATCTCCATCTTCTTGTTTGCAACAATGGGGTAATTTCAAGCAGACTGTCGCTATCAAGAAATCGGGAAGCTCTACACAAAGATCGAAGATGATAGTACTGAAGTTCAGGGGCTGGAATCTTGAAGAGCCTCGCTTAACCTATTCGAGTCCTAGTGGTTGGTAAGCGCGACGCGGCGCTGTTAGTAGTTGTTGAAGTACCAAAGACATGTGACATGTGATGTCCAGTTCAAATAAGAATATTCTCGCCTTTACGTATCGAGATCAGAATCGTCAATGCTACAGCCTAGTCAATGATGAGTAGATCTGAAATATCTCAAGCATGTAGGAATCACAAGCGCTTTCGGCTTCTACATGGTCTCAAATTCTGCCATGGTGTTTGAAATTTCAGTGCACCTATTTTGAACAATCCTGAAGACTCGAAAAGACACCAAAATTGCATTGTACATAATTTTAGTAGAACGTAATCCAACAGAGTGGAGCCAAGTCATGCTTTCTGAAGTGAAATACATGTGCAATTGTTTTGTCTAGGATATAATCACAGTTCTTCATTGCTGAACTACGGTATCTACCCCTAATTCGCATCATACTAGACTGAGTCCCCAGGCTCACTAATATATCCCTGAAAGGATCTCCGATAATCGTGATTTAAGAAGTACTAGGTGTCCAAAGCTCTCAACAGCCAGTCAGATCTCATAAAAAAACAAATTCAGCCAAGCTGTTAATTTAAGGATGAGCTAGTTCAAAGCTACTGTGAATTGTAATCATACGAGCTTCTCAAACAAATATTCTCCAATGGGGAAGTTTAGCTTGAGAATATTATCATGTTCAGCAGATCTGATGGATATCCATTCTCCATCATGATCTCTCCTACGTAATGTATGTAGATTATGAAGTGTAGAATATATCACTCACACTGGTAGCTTTCGATCCTCAATCAAACACAGTAAAATAAACAGAGCATTTCAAGTTTCCCAAAATTTGTTCATCGTAATCTGGTCGAATTCGACCCGAAAGATACAAACTACTGGTACTTCCTTCTTCTGAACCCCGAAGAACAGTTCATCAGTCACTCATGCCAGGTAACTGCAGCTCCCGTCCACATTTTAGGAGTTTCTGTATTTCTAGTCCACTTCATTTTGGAGGTGCAGGTGCAGGTGCAGGTGCAATCACACAACATATGCACGTTTCTCTCTTCTCAGTCCTCTTTCCTTTCACGCTCGCCACTCTTTCCTAAGTGTCTAGAACCCGAAATTCCGATATAACTTCCTCATCTCAAATATAAACACTACAGTAATAAAGCACTCTATCAACCAGGTTTTACATGCAAGAAGCGCATACGGCATCAGAAAAATATCCACCCATCCGTCTATTGATCCACGCATCACTCCTTCCCATTTCCATCCCCATCGTCACCATCCATACCGAACCACAAAATCCCGAATCCAAAACCACACTCCAACTCCAAGACTCAAGAATCTATTCAAACCCCGTAAATCCTAGCCTTATCCTCCCTCCCTAGAAATTCCCCCGCAAAAATGATTCACACAACTAGTCACATGCACACTCAAGCAACAAAACAAAATTAATTAGTCAATCCCTTACCACACACCACACACCACTTTAAACCCTGCACCCAAAAAACTCCAGTCTAAAACACAAGGCCATCTAAATATTATTCTATATCCCATACCCCAGACGAAGACCGATACCAATCTATACAACCTCAAATTCAAAACGCCAAGCACTAACTAGGTATTTAAAGCTCTTTAGTTATGATCTAGCGTCCTGATCATAAACTAGTACATGAACTTTATTTTCAGGTTTCAATCTTAATCCATAATGCGGGGTTGGAACCACCTCGAAAACACATATATTTATATTTTTTGATCTTCCGATCAGATCATATCATGAATTCTTCTTTACTTTCCTGGGGGTTAGTAGATCGGATATGTATATGCGGAAGATCGGATAGGGGAAATTCGAGACAAGTAGACTTGGAATATAAGGAATGATGAGATTGAGAGTTGGGGTTGGGATTTGTAGATACCTAGATATTTATCAGTGCTTAATTATTGTACATTATAAGTTCTATCCATCTAGCTTCAGATGTCCGACTCTCGACTCTCAGGGATTTCTGATACTTAATATCTACTATACGCTTACAAGTTACCTAATTGTGATACTCTTTCCTTTCCATGTACTTCCCAGTGCCCACCTCGTCACCTCTATACCCAAACATTGATATCTCATCCCTCAATCTCATTCCCCAACCTCAAGAACCCTCTCCTCCCCTAGAATCTTCCAGCTCCAGCTCCTTCCTTTTTCCCCCTTCTATTTTCCCCTCCCTCATAGTCCTTCCTTCACTTACCACTTCACTTTCCCTTCTCTCTCATAGTCCTTTCCTTCCTTACCCCTCTCTTTCGTAGTCCCTCTCTCTCCCTTTCCTCTTCCTTCCAACTCCCAAACACATACTCCTTTCCTTCCAAATCCCTACCCCTACCCCAAACCCAATACCATTCCTAGTCTCTGAACATGTAAAAATTTGCTATGTGCAACTTACCGCCAGCACACCCCATCTAGACTTATTTCCCCTCTTCTCCAGTCTTCAGCTGAGTTTCCTTTAGCTTCTTTCCCCTTCTCATCATAAATCAAATTGAGGTAGAGGAAATAAAATAAAGATTGTTGAATTCGCTATCGAAAATAGCCCGACATCAGAAGGCGATGGTGTATGGTACCACTTTGCCGTTGGTTCAAATTCCGTGCCAGGAAATTAATTATTTTGACAATCACACTCACACAACTCACATTCAAAAGAAGTAATTTAAATCCGAGGTCAAAGTATCTCAAATTCAATATGTAACTACCTATCTAAAAACCATGCAATTCCAGTGTGTTCACCCCATATATGCACAGCATATACCCCATATGTATCTCAATCTCCCCATTCCTCCGCAAAAACAAGACCAAGACAAAAACAAAAACAAAAGCCCGCGTTCTAAACCCTAGGTAATAATGTACACCATCTAATAAGGCAGTGTACAAGAAGAACATTAAAAGAAGATGACAAAAGGAGAAGTATGAAAGATCCGCAGGGTATCAAAATCATGTATCGTAATCTCATTAAGCCGTACCCTATCCATCTAAGATGAATCATCCTAGCACTTAACACCTGTATCAGATCCCTTGAACATTGCAATGGTAGCAGCAAAGGTGTTACGGTTATCTTTGAACGCTGCGCCACTCTGTCCATCAACTGTAACCATGTTTTCAACACCGACGGTTGATAATCCAGTGATGTGAATATTACCTGAACCCTCGATTGAAAGCATGTTGCTTTGACAGTTAGAAGTCTTCAAACAATCTTGACTGTAGTTATCAAAGAATGAATAGAGACCAGCACCAGTGATGAAAACATCCTCAGAGTTAACGATGCGAACACCCCATGCTTTATCAGCAAGCGATCCACCAGTGAAAGAAGGATCACCATAAACCGAGTTGGTGGTAAAAGGTGTTGTGGAATCGGGATTGGATTGGTAGTAAGGAGTTTCAGTTTGAATGGCTCCCATAAAGATATTGGAGGCGTTGGCCAATTGGTAGTTGTAAAGAACGTTATGTTCACTGGCGGTACCATACATCCAGGTAGGTCCTTCTTCAGAAGCAATCAAGATTCCTCTGCCGCTGTAAACGTCAATTTGGGTATGATCGGTAAGATCAAGTTCATGATCAGCAACCCAAAACCAGTTGTTCTCAAGGTAGATTGAAGCCTTTTCAGTAACGTGGAGAAGCATAAAGGCTCCAATGCAGTCTGGGTTGCTGCTGTGAGTTGCGTTTGGGTTCTTGGCGCAAGTATTGGATTGAAGTTGAGTACCGGCACTACCGCCAATTCTTGCATGGACATCCCACATTCCTGCTGAGCCTTGGGTAGTCTCCTTGACATTCCATTCGATGAGGATAGCGCCCGCAGCTGGACCCATAGTTTGGAAAACAAGATCGGAGATCTCAACAGAGCCGGTGTCACCAACTTGTCCAACTTGGAAGACAGCCTTTGGATTGGCTTGATCATTGAATCCCTTTGCCATGATCATAGGCCAGATCTCACCAGTAATCTTGATGTTCTTTGGAACTTTGATGGTGTCAGTGACAATATAAGCACCATGATCGAAGTAAACAATTTGATCAGCAGTAGCCTTGTCGAAGATTGCTTGAATGGCAGCAGTATCATCGGTAGTTCCATCACCCTTAGCTCCATTAGACTTGACACTCAAAAATGAAGAGGCTGGTAAAGTCTCATATTGTGGCTTGGTGCGTCCAAATAACTTGCCAGTAGAGTCCAAGAGGACTGCAGGCTTGGTGACAGCATCTTGAGTACCTTGGCTAGCTGCACCAGCATTAACTCCAGTGTAGACCTTTCCTTGAGCCCATGATGCAATTTTGGTGTTTCCGGCAAGAACTGTCGACTTGGAAGTGGCATCATAAACGGCAACAGGAACATTGGAA